CGTTAATTGCCGCCGAACAACAAGGATAAATGGAGGGTACGCACGCTGTTTATTACAGTGAATGAAGAGGATCTTTTTGGGGTTGCGTGCAACTCCACAGCGATTGCAAAGGACAATAAAGTGTCTCTACTTGTGGGAAGCTACAATATGTGAAAAAATGATGGTCGCTAGAATAAGGTTGGCTGGGATATTCAACTTGTTGTGGGTGATGCCACGCACTCCAATGACGGCGTGCAAAGTACATTGATCGACTGGGCTGAACCCAAGTCACCTCCACGGCAGATTCCCCAAAGGATTAAAAGCAACCTGTCGGATTTTGGGGTGGTGGTAGTTCAGGCATTTTGATGGAGGGTGGCACACTTGTGTTTACCCTGAGGGCGAGGAATGGGGAAAATCGATCCTTCTTCAGAATCACTTATTCGACGGAGAAAGGCAATACCTGGTTGTTCCAAGAAGGCATTTATCCTGCGGCATGCTTTAACCCCCACATCGCCGAATGAAATGGGAGACAAATTTTCGTGATCGTTTAGTGTAAAGATGGCCAGAGTTTGTTTGATTCGTGTGAAATGGGGGCAATGCGGACGAAGGCTATTGGGACACTCCCAGGCGTGTGGACCAATTCACAATTGGGAGTCTTTCGGGAAGACAATTTGCCTATGGAAGCCCCTATCACTGCGACCATTGAGGGAGTGAAGGTGATGCTGTACACTTGGAAAGGGTACTTCTCGGGGGAGAAAAGGGAAAATGTGTTCCATCTTTGGGTCACGGACAATAACCGCACGTTTTCTGTTGGACCCGTTGCCATGGAGGATAACTTGGAACTTTTCCACGCCCTGCTGTACTCGGATGGTGCGTTGCACATTTTACAGGATGGTATTATTAAAGCAAGCAACACCATTTCACTTGTCTTACTATGAGAGGGGCTACAGATGATCAATTACGTCTTGAAGAGTTGGGCACAGCTGGATTCCTCCTTCTCTGAGTCGTTTACACCCACAGCGGGTCTGGTTGGTTTCATTTCCAACGCATCGTCCGGTGGTGACACGTGGATCGACGATTACCTTTGCGTGAATGCAATTGTGACGAAGAATGCAATGAAGGGCAAAGATGGGTTTGAATTCACGGGGCTTGGGTCCGGGGCAGTATGGCTCGTGAGCAGCCGGGAGCATAATGGGCCGCATACCTTTGTAAGCTGTGATTTCACTATTGTGGCGACGGTGATGATCCAAAATTTTTCGAAGTTGAGCACTCCTCTACCGGGTGCGGGTATGGATGCACCCGTCAGCACGAACTTCATTGGGCTTTCGCACAACGCGGACAGTAGGTGGGAGACAGTGTTTTACGGAATAAAAAGAGCATCGGGCAGCACTTGGGAGCCGGGGAAAAAATACCAGGTGGCGCTCATGCTGCAGGACGGCCACAGGGGATTTGTGTGCGTGAGTGCTGACCTTGTGGGGAGCCCGGAGACGATACCAACACTTGAGACGCAGGGGGCTGAAGTCTCATACTTCTAAATTGGGGGCGACGAGGGAGACAGCGGCAGCAGTGTGACAGTGACAGAACTTCTCTGTACAACCGCTCACTGGGTGACGATGAACTAAAAATGGTCAAGAAGAGCGAAGGCTCCGTGCGTGGGGGCGTGTTGCGGGTGCTGCTGCTGCTGCTGCTGCTGGGCTGTGCGGCTTTGTGGCCCTCTACGGGGCGTAACGCGGCGGGACCCCTGCCTCCAGCGGGAGCAAAATGTACCTCTCCACGCACCCTCTGGAATAATTGACGTTTTGCTTGGACGTACCTTTTATTTTATATATTTTATTTTTGGTTTGAATACTCCTTTTCCGCCTGTGCAATTCTTTATTTAAAAGCGTGCTCTCCCTCCCGGGACTGCACCGCGGGGTATTTGTTTTTGCTTTATTCTATGTGATTGTTTTTGTATAGTGGAGTATTTTGAGATTGGCGGGATGTCTTTAATTTTTCCGTCGGCCGACGACACGTGCAGTCGGTATTGAGCTCCACGACGATGGTGCGGTGAAGAAGGGATTTAAGATGTGCAGCAACGCACTGAATGTCCGAATGAAATGTGGGTGTTGTGTGGACACCAGGAGGTTGAACGGCTGATGCAAATATATTTTTACTTCTGCAGGAAGAATATACACGTGTTTCTTTTTGTTTTTCCGCTTCACCGTGTTATTATTATTATTTTTTTGTGAGCGTGAAAAACTTCTTCAAGGGGACTGTTTTTTGCGTTTTATTTTTTCTTTTTTTTTAAAGTTTTTATTTTTTGTTTCTGCAAGCGTATTGTGAGTTGCCACATGTTGGGCTGCCGTGCCATCTTGAGCTTTGGCTGCCTTCCTTCTTTTCTCTTCGTCTGTCCTGCACCTCCGCTGCGTGTTTTTCTTCACGTGCGCGGCTCTTTTTTTTTATTTGCGTGTCTGCAGACACACAGCCGCACGACGTACAGGTTGCAGTGCAGCTTGATGCTTCTCGTGCACTCGGTGCTGGCAACTGCTGCATTTTGCGGAAATGAAAAAGAAAGATGCATCGAGAGTGCGTCGCGGCTCTCATCCCCTGTGGAAATGCTGCACGGCGTGTGGCGGTATTGCTCTGAAATGCCGCACCATCACGCACGAGGACGTGGCACGGAGTGGAAGACTTCTTCTTTGTTTTGTGTCTGCTGCTGTGGGTGTGGGTGCGGCCGCGTCGGACTTGTCGGCACGATGGCCGCAGCGTGTGTCTGTCGCTCTGTTCTCTCGAGAGATATGCTGCCACGCTTTTACGTGTGTTGCTTCGGGGACAATGTGCCGGTGGCTGTGCGATTGCCGGATGGAGGGAGAGGAGCGGAAGAAAGTGCGTGAGTGCAGAGGTCAAGAGTCGCGCTGGGTGTCGCCGCGGAGGGCCTTGCCCACCCAACGCAGCACCGCTCCTGTCGGGTATTCCATGTCACTCCGCAGCATCGTATTCGACGCCGGCAGCACACAGCGAGGCAGCGGATGCCGCCACCGCCACGAGTGCGACCGGAAGGGAACATGTCTGCTGTTGTGTTTCGAGGGGTCACACCGTATGGCACAGTGGCGTGCCCAAAGCCTCATCGCGGAGTCCGCACACGACACCGGGCACTGGCCGCGGAGCGTTTGCGTCGTGGAGGACACCGCGGTGGAGTCTCTCCTCCCTGCAGGTGGAAGGACGCCTGAGTTTCTTCTTTTTCCCACCCAGGCGGATGGCTGCGCGATGACAACAAAATGAGGCAGCCGTTTTCACCATGGAGGGATAATATCTGTGGTGCTACGCATTGGGATGTAAATGACAAATATAATATTGAAGGCAGCGTCATGGCACTTTTGTACTGTGCAAATTGCAGAAATTTTTGATAAAAAATATATACATATATATTCCCTGTGCGAAGAGCTTAACATGATGCATCGCTGTTGTGGCGTGTGTTTTGGGTGTCTGCGTGTGGCCGTGGCTGCACCGAATCCCCTTCCCACTTGTGTGTGTTTGTGTCAGGGACGATATGCGCGCACGTCCTCTTGCCGAGTTTGTGCGGTGACGGCGGTGCCACAGGGGTGCGGGACCGTGGCGAGCAGTATGCGTGGGCGAACCCTCCGCGCTCACCACGTTGTTGTTGTTGGCTCTCTCCAACACTGTGCTGGGTGGATGACATCCACTTGCCGTCGTTGCGGGGATCCTCGTGCATTTGGTGTGCATCGAATGCTGTGCCGTCACACTGTGTGGGTGAGTCTCTTGTTGTGGCTTCGAGCCATGACTGTGACTATTGTGTTTCTTTTTCTCATTCCCCTTTTTTGTTTGGTGGCTATTGTTTAGATCTAACTCAAACTAACTAAGAAAGCAAGGAGAAACAATGTCTGAAAGGCCGGAGAGTATACAAGGCAGCAATGTGGAGAGTCAATCGTCCACTGTCTCGCAGGGAGGTCAGAGGAGAGCGAGGTCGGAATTTGAGGGTGACACAGATCACTCCTCTGCGACTCGCAGAAGATTGGAGGAAATTTATCGACCACAGTGGACCATGAGCAGCAGCCTTGAAGAAATCCTGCTGGGTGGAAGCACTCTCAGGACCGACATGATGCTGAACGATTTCCTTCGGAGCAACTTGGGCGGCAGGGGCGTTGTGGACACCAATGAGAACGTCGCTATGGAGATTTTTGTCTTGAGACCCACGATGTTTATTAACGACAATGAAATATTGGGCTTAATAACGGCATCGCCGTCATACAGAGAGCTGGAGGAAAGGAAAACACTACTGGAGGCTATTAATAAGCTTAATGACAAGGGTGTGGTCTCTCTCGGGCAATGGAGGGGCTTTAAAAGTAAGAATACGATCACTCCTTTTGCAAGGGGAAAACTAAACGAAGCAATCACCCAGGTACAGACAGCGGAAAGTAGTGAGGTAAACGAAAGAATGAGTCGTAAGGAAGAAGAAAGGCGAAGACGAGCGCTAGAAATGAAATTTACCATTTCCACTACGATCGAAGAGGTACTGTTTAAAGGGGAATTTCGCTACAAGGATATGAACCTTAACGATTTTCTTCTGATGAGATTTGGCGGCAGGGGCATTATTGCGACCAGTGAGAATGTCTTGCTGGAGGAGTTTTTCAAGGATCCCGCGAAGTATATCCGTGATAAAGGAGTATTGAACGAAATAAAGACAACAGATGCTTATTTGAGTATTGAGGGGGTTGTAAGGGAGGAAATGGATAAGGGGGAAGATGTACGCAAGCTTAAACAGGCTGGTGTGTACAATTTACAAAAATGGTCCGAAGCTACTGCGCAGGTAAAAGAAAGTGTTCATGAGATCACTAAAAGTTTTTTGGATGCAGCCCTTGAGGAGGCGAAGAAACCAACAATGACGAGTGCACCGATAAAAATGGAGGGATGCTACGAGTCTGTGTACAATTCGAGGTGGAGCCATGTCGTGGAAGTTGTTGGCGGCAAGGGGACGGTAATGAAGGTGAAGGAGGGGAAGCCAGAAAAGTCATGGACGTACAGGGCAGTTGGCCGAACTCTCGAAAGGAATGACGGTTTGCAGCAATCCGGTGAAGTACCTCCCAGGCTGATGGTGCTCGCCTCGGAGAAGGGATGGCCGTACTCGTGGAATGTGCTGCATGGGACTGGCAATGACTTGTGTGTTAACTGTGAGGTGGAGCGAGTGTGGCAGATCGTCCTTGACGATATAACCAAGTGGTTCAGCAATTTTGATTTGACTCTCAATCCTTCACCTTTGCCGCGTGTGTTGATTGGGACGCCCGGGATCGGGAAGTCGGTGAATGCCGGCTCGTACCTCCTCTACCAGCTGCTGCACTACGATGTGGAGAAACTCCAAGTGGTTGCTTACTGTTTTGGAATCACGATGTACGTGTTTGACAAGGCCAACAGGACGGTGACAAAATACGTGGGTAACAAAACATCGAGGAGTGTTTTGGATGGTTTGTGGCAGCGTGGGATGAAGGGGTATATTATTTACGATGTGGCAAAGGAAGGAACACCGCCCGACCCAGATTTTGCGCCCTCTCGTGGATGGGGCATGATTGTGGTGTCATCGCCAAAGGTAAGCAACTATGCTAAATGGGCGACGCAAGTAAGAGCCAGTCGAATCATCATGAATTGTCCTGAGAAAGATGATGTAAAGGCGATGTGTGCATGGATGAAGCGAGGTCTGAAACCAGATAAGCAAGCGGGATACTGGGAGATGGTTGAAAAACACATGAAGAATGTGGGGCCGATTCCGCGTCACATCTTTGATGAGGGAAGTTATATTGATCGCATGGATGCCGTTAATGATGCCTTGTTAGCGATCAAAGATACTGATGTTGAAGAGTACTTTACCCTGGGAGGAGAAGAGAAAAAATGGTATTCTGAGTATCCGTGTCACAAACTTGTGAAGATCGTCCGGGCAAGAAAAGTTGAAGGTGCTGAGGGATTTTTCAACGCACCGATATGTACTGATATCGAGTTTCGAATTGCGGACCGTTTGGCAGAGAAAAAGGGTGCGAAGGATTTTTTATTGCTAATACTGGCATCGCATGGTACTCTTGTTTCCCAACTTCTGGAAAAATTAGGTTTGCGCGCCTTCATTTATGGGGAGTTTGTCATTGCATTATTAAAGGAACTCAAGGAGCTGCCGCCACCATCACCTTCCGAACCACAGGATTCAGTGCTGAAAATAAGCCATCAAGGGTACCCCACGCGCACCGTTGGATTAAAGGAACTGGAAGGCGGTGTCACGAGGATTCCGATGGAGTACGGGGTGCTGTACATACCGGCGGTCCAAAACTTTCCGCTGGTGGACGGCTTTTTCTTTGTTGATTCGCCGCGGAGGACGTTGGTTGCGCTGCAGATGACTACGGCGAGTGCGCATCACACCACCGCCACCACTGTGAGGCAGTTCATTGAGTGTATGGCGGCTTATTTTGAAGGATGGGACGAATTATCACAAGACATGTCGTGGGATATTATTTATATACAACACGCAGACAGCACGCCGATGAAAAAATGGCAGAGATGTGATGTCGTCAATTCCAATAATGTGAGCCGCGCTGAAAACCGAGAGATTGTGGTGTTCTGGGAGGAAGAGGTGCACCAGTACCTAGCAGCAATATCGTCGGACGATGCCAGAAGGGACGAAGCTCTCCGAAGTGGGGAACAACCACCGAAATGGTAAAAATAAATTAGGGAATGAAAGGGGTAGTTTTGATTTCTGGTAAAAAAATATTGTGGGAGTTATATATTTTTGGATACTTTTTTGTGTGCATACGGTGCGGATGCACCAGCACCAGACGACAGTATATCGCACAGATTTCAGAACTGTCCAACGCTATCGAACATAACAGTGGCAGAATAAATTAGGGAGGGAAAGGGGTTGTTTGGTTTCTGGTGAAAAACAATGGGTGGTTTTTATATAG